GATATAGATGAAGAAAGTAGGCTTATGGGGTTTAGGTAACTTGTCCAGGTCTGTGAGACTACAGAGCCCAGAGGAGACAACGCTATGGATTTTGAATGTTATCCAGGTACAAGTATAAGTGGATTCTAGACCTTTCTACTCAAAGTCTGGTCCATGGACTGGCGGCCTTGGCATCACCTGAGAGCTTGTGAAGAATGCAGGCTGTGGGGTCCCCACTCACAAATCTTGAATTAGAATTGAAGTGGTCACCAGATTCCCAGGGATTTGCATATATGTTAAAATTTGAGTAGCAGATGAAGGTTCTAGGCCATTCACATTTAAAAACAAACACTGCTCAGATGTCTGGGTTTTGTGAATAACATGGGATTTCATTCATCTTGCGGGGGTAAATGAACAATAGAGCTATGAGCATCAATGAGGAAAGGTAAGTTTAGACACCCAATAGAAACCATATTGACTAACAACTTTTGGAGGCAACTTGGAAAATGTAACCCATGATTTAATGATCTTTAACTTAAAGGCATTAGAAATATGCAAGGTGAGCCGGTCAGTTTCTCCAAATGGGGTTAGAACTTAGTTTTCTATGCAAAGACGGACACCCAGGTTGAAATTTCTCAAAAGTTCCAAGTTGGTGTCAAGCAATATGATGATCATCATATTGATGATCCCGTGGCTTCTTTCTTGGGACTGGGACAGACCCGGGAGCTGTAGCACAGCTCTTCTTGCTTCAGCTCCATCTAATTTACAGTGAGATCGGCACACAAATGGGAGTGAGGAATCACTCTAACAAGCTCCCTGCCCTCTTGTCTCTGGAAGAATGTTGGCTGACAGGGACACAATTAAAAAGGGATTGATTTATTGAGCTGGAATGCTCTGGCCCCCCTAATCTCAGAATCTCTCTGATTCATGCAATCACCATTTCCAAACAAGAGTCAGCCTACATGAATGAAACTTTTCTTTCCAAACAAGAGTCAGCCTACACGAATGAAACTTTTCGTGATCACCAGGGAGCCAAAGACTTAGTTTACCAAAGGTAGCTCAATCCTAGAAGCCTATTAAAGAAAAACAAAAACCCACATGAAAGAAGCTCTTTCCTGCATGAGGGCCTGGATAAGGATCTGGAATTCAGTAGGAAAGGACGATCTAAACAAAAAGTAAGACGTACTCATGAAAACGGCTAACCTTGACTCCAGGGAGGGGCACAGGTCAAGAAGACTAAGTGAGCAAGGAGCCCTCTTCTTGTCTTTTACATAATGAAACTGTAAATTTCTGTTAGAAATCACAGGATCATCAAGCATTTGCCATGTCGAGGGGGACGCTGGTGAGATTCAAGGGAAGAAAAAAAAATCTGTGGATTTGAATTCACATTTGAATTCTCCCTTTGAACTGTTTCATTGAATCCAGGTGGTCAAATCTCTGCTGTTTGTATGCATGTAATTATTTACAATTGTTAGGATTTGAGAGGGCACCCAATAAATAGCACCTTTTTTCACTAGGGATCTGAACTGTTCGTGAAGTAAATCAAAAGACGAGGCACAGGAAGACCGAAGTGGAGCATCAGTTTTTTACTCATTAATTGGATGCTGGAAAATGTAGCTTTTATCCGTGCTCTGGTAGATTTCTTGATGTCAAATTCCCAACCCCAAAATTATTACCTCCCAATCATAGCAGCTGTGGACAGACCTTTGTGGAACGTGTATGGAGGGGCAGCAGAACGTCCTCCTTGACAGCAGCCTCACTCCCAGGAGAAGAGAAAAGACAGAGGCTGGGCAGCACATACTCAGTTTCTCTTTCCAGATTTATCAGAATAAGAAAACCACTTCTCCCTTGGGGGGAGTAAGTCAGGGGACAAAGAGAAACCAGGAGTGAAGTGGGACCTCTCCCACGTAGAAGGAATCATCATGAGTGAGGAAGAAGCATTCTCTACCTTCACACTTTTGAAATTAATGTAATCCTGCTACGAATAACAGTAATGACAATAATAAGAACAAAAGTGACCATTTACAAAGTACTGACTCTGCTCCGATTCTGAACAGAATACCCTGCCTCATTTAATCTTCACAGCAACACACTGAGATAGTATTATGATGATCTCTCTGCAAGAGGTGAGAAAACTGAGGCACAGAGGTTGTGAAACGTGTCCAAGGACACACAGCTAGGAAGTAGTACAGCTAGTGCAAACACAGCTTTGCCTGACTCCAGAGCCTGAGTTATGCCGCAGACTCTGCTCTATTGGTTGAATGAATCATGAAGTAAATGAATAAATGAGTGAGGTGAACTAGAGGATACTGTGTCTAGAAGTCTGGCCGTGTTGGGGAATCTGTGCAGCTTTGCTAGGTTTGGCAGCCAGCCCATCTTTCCCCCAGCTCAGAGGCTGGCCCTGAGGACTTTTCCCTAGAATGTTCTGCCCTGCCAGGCTGAACCAGGCCAAGAAGTACTCCAGCAGGTGGACCTTGGAGCTGGTCTTGCTGTCCCAGGAACCCAGTGTCAGGGCGTGCCGGGAACAAGAGCGGGGGGCTGCTTGTTCATTTGGCCACAAGCATCCCCTTCACTTGGTCTCTGACTTGCATTCTAGATCACTCAGTGGCCTCAAAGGTCTGAATGCTTCCGAGATGGCCACTGGCCTAAACACAGCTGGCCAGGGGAGCACTTAGACAACCCCTTCATGGGAGAGGGATCAACCCATCTCTGCCTGAGCTAGAAATCTGATTCACAGATCAGGGGTTGGGGAAGAGTGTAGCGATTGAGGCTGTCCTCAGCTCCCTGTCTCTGGTGGGAATGTCCTCATCTCCTGTGCATATGGCCACCATATTTCCAGGCATCTCCCTCACCACCGGGCATTATACCAAAAATCAGAGCTTCTGAGATGCCCTGTTCCCTCGCTTCGCTTACTCTTTTTTTTTTTTTTTTTTTTTTTTTTTTTTTTTGAGATAGGGTCTTGCTCTGTCACGCAGGCTGGAATGCAGTGGCATGATCTCGGCTCACTGCAAACCCCACCTCTCGTGTTCAAGCCATTCTCCTGCCTCATCCTCCTGAGTAGCTGGGATTACAGGTGCCCACTACCACACCTGGCTAATTTTTGTATTTTTAGTAGAGACAGGCTTTCCTATTGTTGCCTGGATTGGTCTTGAACTCCTGACCTCAAGTGATCTGCCCACCTTGGCTTCCCAGAGTGCTGGAATTATAGGCGGGAGCCACCAAGAGGCCTCACTTGCTCTTAACACCACCCTGTGATTTATGATTTACATTTGAACGCCCGGAGCCGCAGCATAATCCATATCAGAGCTCCCTCCCTCCAGGTGAGGACCCCTTCCCTTCTCCAGGTACCCGCTTCCTACTCCCCCATATGCCACATCGGCTTCTCCACCTCTTCCTTGTCCCCATGTCCCGACTGCTCCTGCACAGACTTCTGTTATCTTAATCTCTTTCTCTGGAAACTCCTGTCACTTGTAATCTTCCCCCATTTCCTTCTCCTACCTCAGGCCCCCTTCACCTTCTCAGCTTTCTTTTCAAAGATGCTGTATTTCTTTTTCTCCTTATTTGGAGTGATGTGACCTGACAGCGTGTTTGAAGTGGCATATTGGGGATAGAAATATGTGCCTGTTCCCTCCATAGGTTTTTGTGTGTGTGTTTTTTGTTTTCTGAATGGGGCTTTTGCAATCAATTTGTGGAGTCTAGTTGAAAGGTTAAGAAGTTTCCACTTAAAATCAACCTCCCCAAATGAAATTTTTTGGTACATTTTCTTTCATTGTAATTGAGGTCTCCATATGCCCCCCATGCATAGGGTTTATTCTGGAAAAGGCTCCCCGAAAAAAGCCTTTCTAGTGCATTCCACTTCTACCCCAGCCTTAGGAAAATGGATTTCATAAACAGTAGAGCACATATTTGTCCTTTTGTCTTCTTTAGGGTTTTCTCTCAGAGAAGTGATGTCAAAAGGAGATGCTTCTAATGGTGCCAGAGGTAGGGATGAGACCAAGCGAGTCAGGCCAAGGGTCCATGTGTATTTGAATCTATCCAGGACAGGTCTCTGTGGACATAAACGTCTATGGAACAAAACAAGACAAAGCAACCTTGAAATATTAGCTGAGACCTAACTCCAAACCGTCCTGTAAACGAAAGCAGATCCAGGCTCTACCTCATGGAGATTGCCTTTTCTGAAGCTAAGTGGTCCCAAAGGAGTCTGGGGAGGATGCTGGTGACATCCGCACCCAGACCCTGTGATTTTGCTCATGCTGTTCCTGCTGTTGAGGATGCTGCATTTGCCCTGCTCTTCAAGGCCTGGTTAAGAGGTAGTCCTTGATGCCACTATCAGCTGGGAAGTTGCTCTCACCTCTGCACATTTGTACTGCTGATCTTACACCTTTTGCATGATACTTACATGCTGATTGATACTCTAGGAGTTCTTGTGTTTTTTTGTGATATTACTGCTGAAGCTTTACTTTCTTAGACCCTGACATGAGAGTTTCATCCATGTTTGTTGAGAACGTGAGTTCTCTCTGGCAGCAGATGCTGAGACCAGGAGAGCTGAGATGAGGACACTTGACACAACCCGAGTGGGTGTCTGTAGTTGTACTTAAGTGGCAGGGGATGGAGGAGCAACCAGGGAGATGGTGAAATATGATGTGTCCCGCATAATGTTTCTTCTTCCTGGGATTTCCCAAATCTTCAGTAAAGATAAAGTTCCTGAAGCAAGAAGAATTTCTGTGGAACCAGAGAAGGCATTCACTCATGGATTGATGGCATTCCAGGTGACCTAGGAGTGGGTGGGCCAAAGAAATGTGAAGAGCCCACCTGTCAGCTGCCTGCAGGGAGTGCGGAGAGGGCTTGGTTCCCATGAAAGGTGAAGAGTATAGTTTCTCGTGAGTTCAATGCCATTTCTTTTGCAGGGTGGCTTGGGGGAACCCAGATGGATTCTGGGTAGATTTCTCATATTGTCGGAGAGATTCTTGGGGGAAGAGTGCTACAATCCTTCCTTTTAGTTCCTCTGGTTTGAAGCCTAGCACAGCAATTGTTGATTTGAATTGAGATACTCTGAGGCAGGTAGTGATTGCTTTGCAGGGGAGCACTTGCTACTGGATGGTTTGTTTCTCCTACTTAGTATTACATAATGTGCTTTCTTCCATTTTTACATATGATCCTCACGGTGAGCATGGATGATAGACTTTGTATACAGAGAAAGAAAATGGGACTCACGGAGGGTGAATGACTTCCTGAAGATCGCACAGCTAGAAAGTGGCAGAGCTGGGACTTAAATTTAGAGTTCCTTGCTGCAAATCTAGTGCTTGGTCAGTCTTCCGCACCAGGCAGCCTCCTGAGCTCTTATAAATCAAGTCAGGCTGAACTGGGAGAATCTGGGAAGCCGGATTGCAGAGCCCTCTCTGTTAACTCCCAAAGGAAAATGATACAGTTTGAGAGTATGAGCTGATGGTAGGACTCTGTCTTCTTTCTGACATTATCTTCATGGAACATTTTGGTCATATAGAGATAAGAGAGAGTCCCAGAACGACGTCCAAAGGAATTTCAGGACCACAAAGCCTGGAACCGTCAGAAAACATTAGCCATCTGGATCACTGAACGAAAGCACTCCTTTGAAATGTGAAGGATTCTTATATGGATGTCCACCCCACCCAGAAGGCCATTGTTGTTGCTGGTAGGAGGTAATCTACAATTTGTTGCCTACACCACCGTGTTATGCATTGATTCCTACATCAAGAGATGTGTGGGGTATGTGCCATTTTCCTCCTCTTTACAAATGAGAAAAATGAGTCTCAGATTAAATTACTTGCCCACATTCATGCAGCTAGTAATGGAGAGATGTGGAATACAAAGCCATATTATTTCTTAATTCAAATGCTGTGCTCTCAGCCACGACGCGATCATGACTCCAAGTAGACATTTGCTGATTGAATGGAGTTGAATCGCACTACAGGAGCGACTGTGGCTAAGAGCCAAATGTCTAGTACAGACAGAAATGTGCAGGAGTAGAGAAGGGTGGATTGCCGGGAGAAAGCATGGTGCTGTCACACAGGACCATTGGTGGCCTTGCCATCGGGTCAAGCAAGCAGTTGGTGCTGGGGAGTATGGGGAGGGCACACGGGCCTTCCTAGGCAGTTCGAAAAGGATGAGACTGTATAGAAAAACTGACTTAAGATGAACCCTGCCAAAAAGGGCTACTCCGTCACCAGCCCCGTCTGAGGTCATATTTCAAAGACTGGCTCAGGGCCACTGGCTGGGGTGCAGGGCTGTGAGATCATGGCTGAGCAATCTGACTTTTAAAAAATATAAGGACCAACTTGGGAGTTTTATCGCAGTTCTGCCGCCCAGGCATGAAGTCAGCTGGCCTGCTCGTGACAGGGAGCGTTTCACTTGTAATTAGTTGGGTGGTTTTTTTTTCTTTTTTCTTTTTTTTAAGTTCTGCCTAAACAGCGATGTGGTGTGAGTGAGCCCGTTCCCTTGGAGCTGCCCCACAGCAGTAGCGGAGGTGAGTCATGGCCATAAAATCTGGAAAGCTCGTGGGGGGATGGAGGGCGGTGGAGAAATATAAATTATTGTGATCATCTTTCAGGAGTGTTCGGGTTAATTATTGCACTTTCACCAGCTGTGTTGTGCCTTCATCCATGCCGAGCCAGAAGTGATGGTTTTAGTGGGGAAAGGGTCGTTCTCTAATGGGGCAGAGGCTCGCGAAGCCCTGTGTTCTTTTGAGGGAGGTTGGGTGCGTGAAATTCTCAGCACCAGCTGGAACCTGTGCGGATTTGCTCTGAGACACTTGGGTGTGAGCAGCGTCACGTTTTCTTTATTTTCCTAAAGCAAATAAATCTGGCTTGGATCTCCACCTGCCAGGGCTGGCAGGCAACCCATTCTTAGTTATGTCTTTTTTGGTGGGGCAGTGGGGGGAGTGAGGGGTTCTTTCTTTCCTTTTTGAGGACATAAGGAAGCCCTGGGAATTAGGTAATTCAGCAAGATCTAAAGGCATGTTCCTGGCCTTGGATCCACTGTGAAGGAATAATTGCTCATGGCCTGCAAAGTACCATTTTGAAGGGAGCTCCTGATCTTCCTCCATCCCAGCCCTGGGCCAAGGGGTCCTGGAAGAGGCTCACGCAGCTTGTCACCTTGTGTTCTCTCCAGGCCCAAGCCTCATTATCCACTATCTGGTGCCATAGGTCTCTACCATAAGATATTTTAAACCAGTTTCTTCCCCAATCTCAAGGAAAACACATAGCATCTCAGTATGGGTCACCTCTCCCCTCTCTTTCCTTTTTAAAATTGCATGTTATTTATTTTTCACTTGAGGACTGGATCTTGCTCTGTTGCCCATGTTGGAGTGCAGTGGTGCAATCTTGGTTCACTGCAGCCTCAACCTCCTGGGCTTAAGCGATCCTCCCACCTCAGCCTCCTGGGTAGCTGGGACTATAGGCATGTGCCACCACACTTGGCCTTTTTTTTTTTTTTAAAGAGATGGGGTCTCAGTATGTTTCCCAGGCTTGTCTCAAACTCCTGGCTGCAAGATGGTCCTCCCACCTCAGCCTCCCAAAGCGCTGGGATTACTGGTGAGACACTGTGCCTCATCACACCTCACTTTACAGGTGAGAGACACCTCCCCTTATCTGAGAGAAAGAAAAAGAAACAAAGAGAAGAAAAGAAAGAAAAAGACCAAATCAAATCAAACACACAAAAACAGAAGTTATGTTAATTTTCTTCCTTGGCTATTTGTTCAGAAAAGGAGAAAATGACTTTTTAATTCTTTATATTTCCTCTGGCAAGAAGGTGGAACCCCTTCTCCATGAATTTGTCATCACTCCAGCTGTGTGACCTTGAGCAAATTACTGACATGACATATTTTAAGGATTAAGTGACATGTCCGATGTCAGGCACTTAGCATAGAGCCTGACCTAGAGTTGGCTATCAGAACATGGCTATTGGTGGAGGACTGGGAGCTCTGTGAGGCTCACAGAGGCTTCACAGGAGAGCTCACAAGGATGGCTTCTCCATCCTTGAGGACAGGAGCTGTGGTTTGCTTATCCCTGTATCCTCAGCAACTGGGCACCCAGTAGGCATCCAAAAATATTTGGTTAACTGGATAGTTGTAAAAGGCGGAGATTTCAGAAAGGCTGAGAAGACCAAGCTTCCTTTACCAGCCCAGGCCAAATGGCCTTCACACTGTATGTCCATAGTAGACCCATGCATGCACTATGTGTGACACAGTGGTGTCATGACGTAATCAGGCAAGGAGGACTGCCGATTTAGTATTGCTCACTCTGGATACCAAAATCTTGACTATAAGAGATAGGGTGACTTGAGCATTTTCTACATTTTAACAAGAGCATGTTTCCCCATTGCCCAGCCTTTATTAGGGCCCATTTCTGGGGCTTTCTCTCCCATCCTACCAGTGGTTTCTATGAAGTTTATGTGTCTCAGGTCACTGAGAAAATGGGGGTTGCTAGAAGGAGAGTTTGATGGGGCTCAGATAAATCTCAAGTCACAGCAGATGACTTTCTTCTGTAGGATCAATGCGCAATTCACAGGTGCTGTACAGGTATACATAGCTAAGCTGACTTCTTTACCCAGTTGGTTTGGAGTGCACGTTTATGTAGTAGACTATAGTCTGCAGGCAGTGGTAGGAGGCCTTCGAGGCACTGTCCAGCAGATTCCTATGGCTTCCCTACTCTCCCTATTTAAGCCCGTTTTGGTCCTTTTCATTCTAGTGCTCCCTGCCAAATTCCCATCTCCTGTAACATCACGCATCTGGTCTAGTTGTTCCCCTGCCAGACCAGGTGACCCTGACGCAGGAGTGAGCTTGTCTTTCCTCCCATGCTCTTTCCAGTTTTATGCATATAGCTTAAACTCTGCACTTTTCTGCCCTAAAGCCTTCCTTTTTGAATCTCAAAAAACTATTTTGGAAATGAAAAAAGTCACCCGGTTTTTGCTTTCTCAGTCCCACCTCTTCTCAAGGCCAGCAATGATCACACTGATGAGGGGAAGGATATGCAAGTGAAAATGAGAAAAAGAACAGCACCCAGTATATCCTTACAGTATGGATAGGTCTATATCCTGATACCTGAAGGAATTCTTCCACTGGGAACTCTATGAAAAGTACTGAAGAATTTGCAAAAAGAAGTCAGCTGACCCACTATTAATAGAAAGCAATCTGTATTTACGATACATATTGAGTACTGGTGAATGACGGACAGAGGAGTCACTACACACTCATATTTAGAATACTCTGATTTGATTCATAATCCTACCATCGATTATACCCTTATTTAATCCTGTATGTGAAATGGGAGGAGATGGTGGTGAGGATATAGAGAATGATCTGTGTGTGTTGAGGGGAAGGTGGGAGAAGGTCAGTGAAGATCTGTTTAGGCTGGGTGTGATGGCTCACACCTGTAATCACAGCACTTTGGGAGGCAGAGGCAGGTGGATCACCTGAGGTCAAGGGTTCAAGACCAGCCTGGTCAACATGGTGAAACCCCGCCTCTACTAAAAATACAAAAATTAGCCAGACTTTGTGGCATGCACCTATAATCCCAGCTACTCAGGAGGCTGAGGTAGGAGAATAACTTGAACCTGGGAGGCAGAGGTTGCAGTGAGCAGAGATCATGCCATTGCACTCCAGCCTGGGTGACAGAGCAAGACTCCATCTCAAAAAAATAAAAAGCCAAAAACCAACCAAACAACAATGACAACAGCTAAGCAATGACTCAAATGACTTGAGTTAGGGAGGCAGAGGACAGCAGGGAAAAGAGGATTCCATGCAGGCATGCAAAAGCCCGAGACAAGCTTGAACGATCAGTGGCTGACGTGGCTATAGTGGTGGGAGCAAGTCGGGAGGAAAGACAGTTAAGTGTCCTGGACACCTCAAATTCTTTTTAGAGCTAATGAGAAGCAATTGGGCAGGGCTGAGGGGGACAGAGATATGGTCTGATTTGCAACGTTAAGTTATGAAACTACAAGAAGCTTCCTGAATCTCAGAGGCCAGAGGCCAAAAACCATTTGCTCCAGAGACCTCATAAAACTGGAGGCAGAAATTTTTGTCAGCTCGAGGGATGGCTTGAGGTCACCTTATTTTGCTGCTTTGCAATGGTGGCTGGGAGAAGGGAGACAGTCTTTGCTGAGAGCCTATTCCATATTAATCATGATAAGTGGAGAAAAATAGCTGATAAAATAATTCTTTCAAAGTCTATGTATATAAATAGAGACACTGGGGAGAGAACGGTCCTGACTTTATAGGATGAATGTCTGACAGCAGGATTTCGGGCAAAGTGGTACTTGGCAAAAAGTAAACTAATCTTTAGGCTAGGGGCCTTCCTACATCTCTGAAATAAAAAGGTGAAGGCAACCAAGTGACATTTTATTGATATAGATTGATAATGGAAGAGGAAGTTAACTCTTTCTGTGTACCTAGTATGCATTAGACCTGAGTTATGTGCACTAGTGATATCTCATGGAATCCTCACAAGAAATAGTTGGGTGAAGTTTATTTAATACCTAATGAGAAGTATTTGGTGATAATGGAGAAATCACAGCTTTTTACAGAAGAAGACTGAAACTTGGGGCAGTGGAGTACGTTGCTCAGGTGACACGGTGCCCATGAGGCAGAGCCTAGACCCTGCTCAGGTTTAGGGGACTTTTCAAGGCTCTCTTCCCACTTCTCAAGCTGCTAGTGACTGATTTTTTTCTCAGAAGCACCCCACCCTCAGGGTTTCAGAACCCCTTCTTTCTGTTCCTGTCTCTACTTTCTTCTTTGATGGCTGCTTCCTCCATTCCCAGTGGGAACGACGTATCCAGGAGACCCATGGGAGCATGGGAGAGATTGGGCTGGAACATCTAGATGGTGGAGACCCTTGGAAACCTTGGGAGGAAGGGATCTCTTGGGCTGCCACCCCCAACTCTTTGTACTAAGTATTTATGAAATCCCAGGAGTTGACCCAAGGGACCCTGGCCTCTTACCCCCACTATTCAGAAGCTCTCTTGTTCACGGCCACATTGTGACTTCTGTGAATTTGAGGAACTTTTGCCTTTTGGGCCCCTTCCTCCATGTAAGCATATGAAAATAATTTAATAGATCATTGGGGGCCCTAAACATTTCATTTTTTTTCTGATGAGAAAAAGAAAATTAAAACATTTTATTCAATTCTATCAGTTCATTTATCTTTCCTTTGGATTTTAAGGAAATGAAAACATTTTGTGAGCCCTTAAAAGTATGGGAATCCCTAGGCACTGTGCCCACCTGCTTGATGGGGAGGTCAGCTCAGTGCTTATAGATTAAGAGAAGACATCAAAAGTCTGGCAGAACCTGCTTGGGGGCTTTACTTTCTTGGTGCCTAGATGCAACTTTCCTTAGTTGAGACTAAGGTGACTGTGAAGTAGCTGTGGCAAAGACGGAAGCCAGGGTAAGGTCAGCCTGGACTTTACAGAGCCTGTGGAAGTCTTGGCTCTGGTTCTCGCACATCCTAGTATCGGCATGTGTGGTTTCGTCAT